CCGCCAAGAACATGGGGCCATCCATTCAAATAAGAAATACTCACGACGCAAAAATGAGGGCTCTGAACGGTCGAGCGCGCCCACGCAGGTTAACATATCGGGCCCCCGTCAAGAGCGTAGGACCCTCCATTAAAAAAGGAAGTACCCAAGACGCGATGTAGAGGGCTCCTGAATGATCGAGTGTGCCAGAACAGGTTAACAGATAAGATTCCCAAAAAGAGCGTACGGCCCTCCATCCAAATAGTGAGTATTCAAGATCTAATACAGAGGATCCCCGAACGATCCAGTGCGTCAGAGCAGGTTAACATCGAATATGAAATACTCACAACACGATACAGAGGGCCCCAAATAATCGACTGCACCACGGTAGCAGTCGATTTGGGGCCCCGAAAAGGGCAGAGGGTCCTCCGCTTAAAAGGAAGTATCCAAAACCAGATGTAGAGGTCCCCCATTATCGAATGGGCCCAATGATCTTATAAGAAGGGGTTCCGACAGGAGCGTAAGGTCCTCCATTCGAATAAGAAGTACCCAAAACCCGGTGCGGAGGGCTCCCCAGAGATGGAGTCTAGCCGAACAGGTTATCAGATGACCCGATAGGAGAAGAGGGCCCTAAATTCAAACACCAAGAAACAATGTGCGGGGCCCCCCGGGCAATCCAACATGGCCGAGGTGGCAAACAGAAGGGGCGCCCGACAAGTGCGTAGGGCCCCATTCAAATAGCACGTGCCCAAGCCCCAACGTATAGGACCCCGAACGATCGAATGTGCCCGGGCAGGCTATTAAATAGACCCTACAAGAGCGTAACCCCTTCCCCCTCCCATTCAGAAAAGAAGTGCCCAGAAGCCTTTCTGGCGAATGGAAAGAGTCCGTGTAAGGGCCAATGATTGACAAGAGTGCCCAGGCACGCTAAGAGGAAGGGCTCCAACAACATCGCAGGGCCCTCCGAGCAAATGCAAAGAGATAAAGGGCGACGTGGAACGCTCCTTAACGATCGGAATGATCCTGTAAGTGGGCGTTTAAGCCCCGCAAACAGCATGGGGCCTCTAAACAATGTAATAAGGCTTAAAATTTCCAGTTAACAACTTTTCAAATCATTGAATGATTTTTTCAACTTCTCATAGCCCCTGCACTTTTGCTCACAATTGTTCTTGGTCGCCTGGAAGTCCAGAGATGCCCAGTTTTGTTGCGCTTTGTATTTCAAAAACTGCACCTGTTCGGCCGGCCATGGGGCCCCTTCGGAGCCCAAGGGAGAGGGGGGGGGGGCGTGGCCCCGTGCCCCCCTCTGGATCCGCCCCTGGGTGCTAGGGCCGTATAGCTGAGTGCTGTCTCTCTCCCACCCCTGCCCACCTGTCAGGGGTTACACCCGTGGTTGCCATGATGGTCTCGCACGCACATTGCAGACTCTTCCACTCGCGCTAAGTTCTGATCAAATGACCTATGCCACTGACAGCCTCACTTATCTTGATCTCCCAGGGGCGTCAAACTTTCTAAGTGACTAGGGGAGGGGGCTGATGGCCCAATAACCCAATTCCTACCTGAAGTTTTGTTTCTCAGCTGACTGATCCCGCCTTATTTTGATAAATGCCTAAGTTATTGCTGTGGCCAACTGCGCTCCTCCCCCTCCCCTTTGGCGAAAGGTCAACATTAGCTCTCCTGGCAGCACACCAAACACGGACCATTAAAAATGATGCATTGATGTACCTGTCTCAATGTGATGCAATAATTGCGACGGCTCGCTAATGTCACGGTTGCATACTCCTACAAAACAAAGAGAATAGGGACATCTCGGACCATTATGATCAAAACTGCAAGGCATTTTAAGTTGTCGTGCCTGACCAGTCGCATATCACTCCCATGAAATCGACGCTCTACCAAGAGCTGGCAGAACGTTGGCCACAAGCTTCATGGATTACGATTATTGCGATGAGCCTTGTGAGCTTCGAAAGATCAAGGGTCATACTGGAAGCGTTTCTCTTCACGCCGCGATGAACAGCTTTGCGTGAGAAACTATGGCTTGGCTGGTTTTGGCATTGTAGATCCTCCTGGCTCTTCCTTACGTACGATGTCTGCCTATGTTATCGGTCATGGTGGTTTGTAGACTGATTAGCCGGCTATCGACTACTTCGTCAACTGTAAGACACATGACTTGATGTAGTGCCATGGATGTGATGTTGATTCTCTTTGCTGTAGTCGTGTGTTGGTACTTTACTGAAACATTAGGCAACATGAATTTGTAAGAACAATTAGCATACACAGATAACAGCATCGAGTCCCGAGAAGCTTACCTTGGTAATTCGAGAGTCCTGAGCGGGCGATTCATGAGAGGCGGGGAACAGGAGTGTACGTCACTAGCACCCAATCCCACCCAACCAGCCACAGCCTCTCCAACCTCTCCCTTTATATCCAAGATGACCACCACCGCCAGAGCTGTTTATGTCAAAGCACATGGGCCGTAGATATGTCCACCGGATCTTCTTATCTACTCATGAGCACACGACAGTCGTGGCTATCACGGCGACCAGGAGCCAAGCCAGAATCTTCGTAAGGGGAAAGAGTGCAGGGTCGACATAGGGTCCCTGGTTATAAAATGTCCTCCCCCTAAAAAAGCATAACTGATTTTTTCCTTTACCCATATGTAAAAAGAACACGTAAGCCACCGCAAGGTGTCTTTCTCGTTTGCACTTTTTAAACCACCGGCACTTATCATGTTACAATGGTTCAGTGGACTCTTTCTGAACCAAGAGCAGTGAGTGGCGCTTAACGCTCAGGTCCTTTGTCGGTATTTTTCTGGATTCTACAGACATATAGAGGGCCCGTAAACATCGTACCGAGGTCAAACATTTCCATTGGTATGGTCTACCGTCATTCAGAATCGAGTAGTCCTACATTATGCAGCATATTTTTGAGTATGCGCGCTCGCATGTCAAACACCCAGACGCCCGGCGTTCCAGTCTCCTTAAGCCTCGCTGCGTCTGTCCCGTGACTAATGTCAGGCGACGGACAACGTGCGAACGGAGGGTCACGTTGGTCCGAGAGTGTCAACGCAATAGGCCCTGTGACATTCGAGGTCCCGTCCCTGTCCATGTTCAGTAAACGTTCCCATGGCTGACTCGAGGCCCCTTGCCAGCACCGAAGGCACTGTGGGCCCCTGACTGACGCAGGACCCCCTATTATTTCAGTGGCACCTACCAGCACCAATCTCGGGCCCGGGCCTCTTTCTTGCTTGACAAATATGTCCGCAGGGCCCAGGACTGACACGCATCCAACCGTTCTGTGTTGGTGGTCCCTGGCTGAAAATAGGCGCCCGCATTGTCTCAGGGGGTCTACAATCGGTGCAAGAGGCCCACTGACTGACATTCGAGGGCCCTGTCCTTGGAGCCGGGATTCTTAATGTCACCTGCAGCAAGCACTCGTGCACTCCGGGCCCTCCATTCCGCGCCCCTACACCCTGTGAGCTGTGTGGTCTCCTTGAACACTGCCCGTGGCCGAATAGAGGTCTTTGCCGACAAAAGCCGCACTTTTAGGCCCTGTAGGCCCCGAACCAACAGTGAAAGGCCTTCATTGACTCAGGGGCCCCGACCCATGCAAATCGCGGGCCGCGGACTTCTTCCTGCAAGGGAAATGGGCCCGCACGTCCCGATCAGCACGGAGCCGACTGTTCAGTGTTGCCAGACAATTGTTCCTCCCCCTCCCGCACATTCCTCTCCCCCCCCCCCCCCTCTTAACCCCTCAAGACCAAGCCCTCAGGACCACCCAAAGTAATGTTAGTGTGTGCCGTGTTTGATATTTTGCCACCACAAGCCTCCCTCTTGAAGAAGACCAAGCTTGCAGCAAGCGCGAGCGTTGAGCGCGTGACGTATTGTTGAAAATTGTGCTGGCAAATGTCAGAGAAATAAGAGGCAGTTTGAGAAGGGCGGTGGGGAAGGAGAGAGGCAGAGCGTTCAGCTTGTACTCGCAATCTGTTGTAAATGTCATCTTTAAACGGGACTGCATTTTGAATAAGTCGTGATAAATAGTGCAAAAGTATTGCATAGAATGCAGACGCAAGTTTTTTCGCGTTGTTCATGCGTGGAAAAATTAAGCCCAACGTATGATTTCTAAACAAGTCGCAAAAAGATATGCCGAAGATTACCCTGTTACCCTCCAGATCGTGCAACGTGAAGGTAATGATCACGCTAAATGGTGGCATGGTTGACCGTTGTCAGCTTCAGTTTGGGATCATTTGCTGTACTATTTTCGCGGGCCCCACTTGCATTACGCACTGCTTTGTCGTCGCATGGGTCCCAGACTTCAAGCCCTCCAGTTGTCGAATTGTTATGTTTTTTGTCTATGGAACCGCTTGATGCGGATCGTTTGCGCCGGTGTTCCGAGCAGGTAAGACAGCACCAGCTGCCAGCGACCTGGCCGCCAACCGCCGCCAGCGTAAGATCTCCTACTCTCACAGGGAAATGGCAGTGACGTGTGTTTTCAACTCACTGTCACGCTTGCGCGACAAACGTTGTCACTGGCTGGGTGTGCTGACCGGTGGAAATGTTTTTGTCGCACATGAACGTCGTCGGCGCCGCTTCGTTCCGCTGTACAGTGTGCTCTGTCGGTGCCGGCAGTGTCGCGTGGCTGGCGCCAGGCAGTGGACGACAGCATGGAGCACCGCCATGACCTCCACCTTACCGGAGACGACGTGAAGCACGCCAGCGACGAGCGGCTGGATCGGCTTCTACGCCGCATGCCGTCCCTGCGGCGGCTCACAACCGACCATTACATCCAAAAAACAATCGACGGCATCATCTATGTCATCTTCTCACCGCCGGCGCCGTTATCCGTTGACATCGTCTGTGAGTGTTTTGTGTGTTTTGTCAGTGTGAGTGCGACAGACGCCTCTAAAGCGTTATCATTTAATGGCGCATGCCTCAGTCGCGATGTTATCGGACGGAGTCTGGGAGCGAGGGCAAAGGCTGCAGGACGCAGCGCTGTCTCAAACTGAAATCCGTGTGTCGTTCCAGCCCGGCTCGAAGGACACCTGGAAAGGGTGGATTTGTTCCACTTCGACGCGGCCCCACAGCCTCTGGAGGGGCTGTGGACCAGGTGTCCCCGGCTGGGGGACGTCACGCTGCCTCGCGGGTCTGCCGAGCGGTGCGCGGAGGTGCTGCTTCGCCGCCTGCCGTCCCTGCGGCGGCTGGACGTGGCGCGGAGTAACGTGCGGGGAGAGTGTTTATCGCTGCTCCCCGAGTCATTGGAGGCTCTCTCGGTGGCCGAGTGTGAACATCTACAGCCGGCCTGCCTGCGTCAGCTGACCCGCTGTCCTCGGCTGCGGCGGCTGGACGTGTCACGTGTGGAGGGGCTGCAGGCGGCAGACCTGGCGGCGGTGCTGGCCGGCTGTCCACAGCTGGAGCGGCTGACGGCGAGGGGGCTGGAGCCGGCGCTGGAGCTCTGCCTGCCGCCGGCCGGCCTCCCCTCCCTCCGACACCTGGACGTGACGTGCTCCCGTGAAGTCACCGACTCCACGCTGAAGCGGCTGCCCGACCTGCTGCCAGGCCTGCACTCACTCAGCATATACGGTGAGTATATTCCACATCACGCAGTTTCCGTGTATTCCGTAGTGGCAACACGGTAATGGTGCAGCTGAAGTGACGCATTAAAGCCAGCTGTTCCATATCAATAGGACACGCTCCCGACCCCGCATGCCGTGGCTCCGCCATGGAGTTGCGAAAGGCGGTGTTGTCTACAGCACCAGCGGTTCAGCCGCTGTTCATGTTCTGACGCCATCTGGCGATCACGTGACGGTGCTGATGCATTGGACCCGGTCCGGCTTCTTGTGTGTTTCAGGGTGTCACGGGGTGACGGCTGTTGGGCTGGACAGCCTGCCGCGGCTCAGGCAGCTGTGTCAGCTGGACCTGACCTGTCTGTCAGCTGTGACGGACGCCACACTGGACCGGCTACACGGGCCGCGTCTGAGGATGCTGGACCTGTCCGTGTGCCAGTCTTGTTCAACAGATGGTGTCACACGGTGAGCTCACCGGTGGGGGACGTGACGAAGGCGATTAGATGAGGAGCATTGCAAACTGGCGGCGTTTCACGTGGCCTGGACACCCCGGGAGGCTGCCTGTTGTTGTTGTTTAGCTCTCGGCGTGTTTCCCGCCCAGCCGAGCCCAGCCGAGGCAGCTGATATGTGACCTCGATCAGTAGTCTAAGCCTGGCTCAAGACGGGCCGGTGTTGAACGGCCAGCGAACTGCAGCCTTAATGAACCAGGCTGTGCCCCTGCCTGCGGTGTGCTCGCCCTGTCCCCTCCGCGTCGCCATCCCCCCGTAGGTGTGACCCGGTGCCGGCCCATACCGGTGGCCGTAGAGTCTGCTCCTCCGCAGCTGAGCTCACCACGAGACAGCACTTGTGCGTCCCGCTCCCAGGGCCGTCACGTGGTGCAAGCCCCATGTGGCCGGGGTGTTGCGGCCGGGACGGGCTCTGACGTCACACCGGGCTCCCCACTGCGTCATCGGTCCAGTCAGAGCCGGCTGCAGGGGGCGGCACCCGCTGTTACGGCGGCGGAAGCCTCGCAGGCTAACGTCTGCTGACGCTGGCGAACAGTTGATGGGGCGCGTGACGCACCACGGAGCACGTGGGTGGTGCGCCCTTTGTTCCGCTGTGTGCCGGTGTTGTGGGTGTGACGTGTGCTGTGCTCTGTTGCAGGCTGGTGCTCGGCTGTCCGTCGCTGACGGTACTGGGGTGGTGGTGGTCTGACCTACGCCGGACCAGGTCCCTGGTAGACAGCCTGGTGCGCCAGCTGCCCCCGGACCGTGACGTCACACTCGAGGTCAACGGTAGGTGGATGTCGCACCCGCTCTCCTCCGTGTCGACGGATGGAGCGAACTGAGCGTTCGTCGCTCCGTCAATGGGATCGTTGATTATGCGCCCCAGGCTATTTATCGGAGGCTGGAATTGTCGCGCCAAGTCCGGTCCGACGGCTGAGCTCCGAGTCAGCTAACTAAGCAGTGATTGCACGTTGAAAGTGCATCGCACCGCATCCTCGTCGGGGACACGTCTGGGTGACCGTGTTACCTTCCATTGTTACACTGCACTCCCGGCGGTCGCTTGTTCACGTGGCGCCTGGGTTGCCGCGGCGAGAAGACGGAGCGCACGACCCAGTGCTGCGGTGACCGGTGTTTGTGTGAGCCAGCCGCCGTGTGTGTTCGGTGGCTGATGTCGACCCACGCTCTGCCGGCAGCCGGGGATCTGCAGCGTCTGCCGCCGCTGCCGCCCGGCCCGCTCAGCCTGAGGGAATATAAGCCATGGTGAGCATCACACAGGCCACAGTGCTGCGGCCCGGCCCGGTCAGGTGCGCCGCCACCGTCCGACACGCCACAGCCACGTGTTGCCGGTCCACCGACGCACGCCCTCCACTGCCGATGCTGCGTGTCGCCACGTACCCGCACGTGCCTGCCGCCACGCCGCGCGGCACGGCCGTGCTGTGTCGGCACGTGCTGCAGCCGTGTGCTGCGAGCGGCAGCTGGCTGGGGAGAGGCGTGTTGAGCAGCGTGTCTGTGCAGCCGGAGCTGTGCGGCAGTCAGTTGCTGACGGGCGGCTCGTTGGCGAGGTCTGACTGCGTCCCAGCCGGCCGCCGGTGGAGCGTCTGCACTGGGCCGCCCCCGGTTGGCGGGTGAGCCTGTGGCCGGCCGGTGCTTGGTCCGGACGCTCGTGTCACCGGCCCGTCCGCAGACAGTGGTCTGCTGCCGCCTGTGCTGGTCTGCGGGCCGCCCGCCAGTCGCACGCGCACGGAAAGCGTGACATCCGATGGCCGCACATCACCGAACACCGCACACCTGCGTCCCGTCCGACCGCTGGCTGCCCGACGCCACTGGTGCAGCCGTCGCACACATCTGACAACGCTGCAGTCACGGCTACACGGCGATAGTGAGCACACGGCAATGCTGGAGCAGCAGCGAGACGAACCCGAGACCCGCAGCACGTTAACTGGCCTCCCCGAGGCTGTTGACCAATGGTCGCCGTGCTGCCGAACGCCAACGCCCTACTGTCTTGTCATTGGCTGAAGTGCCAAAGACGCCGGCCGTCAGGCTTCATCTCATTAGTTAGCAGTTAATAGCCGGTCTTTCATTGGCTAGCCTTAGAAATTTGGGCGGAGCCACCGTACGTTTGCATTGTCGGTCTGTGACCGAGGCAAAGGGTTCTGATGGCTGATCATGGCGGCCAACGCGCATTGCGTCCTATTTATTGAGAAGCATTGACGCCCCCCAGCGCGTGTGCACAAAATGTGTGCGGGCAAAGTAACAATATCGATCGCTTGCCATTTTGTCTTGGAAATATGTTGTACAAACAAATATGTAAATTGTGCGTGGATGAAAAAAGCATTTGTGGGTACTGTAGCATGGGGACTTTCCTTAGAATATTTGTCAAATTCATCGCTGCACCCTTGACGTGTGAACGAAACATTTCACGGGGTATTAATATGCTCCATTCACCTTTTCATCTGTGGCACAGAACCTATGGAATTGAGTAAGGATCAGCAAGCACTAAACACGCCAGAACACAACGTTGCCAAACTGGGCGCCGGCCGACATTAGCAGAACGGCGAGATACCGCCCGCTCATTGGTCAAGAGAAGCCGGCCCGGTGGGGACCGACCAATCGCAGAGCGGTAAACTTCTTCGGGTGTCGGTGGAATTATCTCGGCATGTTTCTGCGGAGCTACGGAACTATCGTCCATAGTCCCGTGTCCCATCCGGCTCCACTCATCAGCCGTCTCCTTACATGCCCTCGGCTACAGCGCTGCTCCCTATTTCGTCATAAATCGCCGAGTCTAGATAGTGTATTGCGAAGCTGCCCATTTTTGAGACTCTAAATATATGTCCGACCCGCAATCCATATTTGGAAATCCTGTCCCCGCAAAGAAATTTTCCAGGAAAAGCTGGCTGCGCATGGAAGCCCGGTTTCTATTATTTGGCGTGTTGTATGTTTTAGTCAGTATTTGAGGTGCACCAACTTAGGTATAATGAAGTATCTAAACGTGAGCTCTGTGTCGCGTAATTAACGTAAGAAATGACTAGGAAACTACACCCGTTTCTAGCATACGTGTGGTTCATTTACAACGGAACTATTATCTTTTTGACTTTAGACATCCTCTGGCTTAAACACAGAGCTTTACTTTCTCCGCTCCAGAAATGTGTTCTTTGAGGTGAGCCAAGATGTGACCTATACCCAAAGCTCTATTTCCAAACCTGGATCACCTTTGTCCGTGATTATGCAGGTACGTGCCTAGACAATGCATTAATCAGTGCTGTTGTACAAAATGTTTATCGGCTGAATGCCGATGCCTGGTATAACCACGTTTACCCACTGAAGTCTGTAGAGCCTGCACCATCGACCAGCCGCTCGTCTCAGATTAGCAGACGTGCCAGACTGCCGGCAAAGTGTCCCATCTGCGAAGGAGCGCTATCATCAGGCACATTTTGCCACCACCGCATGAAATGGCTCTGACTTGGGTGGTCCACCTAAAGAACAAAATAATTGCTTGCCTGTTCAAATACAACGTTGATTACATTGGAGAGCACCGACTCGATGGTGTATTGAACCAGACAGGTGCTGGCTCTCACTGTGTCCTTTTTTGCAATGAATTACAGCGACAATAGTACATTTTATCATTTTCGCTTTCAAAAGAGCAGACCAGGTGACTGGGAATCCTATTTTCTGGCCAAAATTTTCCTGAAGAGTCGTAGACATGTAGACGTAGACATGTAGCCGTAAAGTAAGGCACACAGATTTGATGTTCCCACAATAAACACTGCCTTCAGTAAATAAGTGCACATGTATGTATATACACATATATAAAGTGCAAACGTTCGTGCATCTTGATTTGGTGTCGACGTCGTGACGTCACGCTCGTCTGCGGTTCAAATATCCGCGACATTGATCTACCTCTGAAACCAATTACAACACATTCCATGATACGTACGTGGCAACTGTTTGGGACCGGCCCAGTCGATTCTAGTCCGTTGAGGCGAACGGCTGAGGCCCAGCCCCAGTCGATTCTAGTCCGTTGTGGCGAACGGCTGAGGCCCAGCCCCAGTCGAATCTAGTCGCGCGGCGTTTCAAAGCGTCTGCGTTCCTCTCCCCGGAACGAGTGGGCCGGGACATAATCGCCTCGTTTACGAAAGCCCTTCCCGACTGCCCGCTGTCACAGGTCAGGGTCGACCCGCTTGGGTCACCACGGCGGGCCGGACGAGTGCGTCCGCGTGCGTTGGTCGGCTTTCCAAAATGAGAGCTTGCAAGATGAATGGCTTAATCCACGCCCGGCCGGGGAAGTCGACTTTCCTCACCATTTTTCGAGCGTAGCTCAAAACGGAACGCTCGCAGCAACACCACATTTGCTGTGCCTGTAATCTATCAAGTTTGCATCCTTTGTGCAAACTTAAGTTTTTAATCGACGAATGTTAGTGATCCAAGTGAGGTCAACGAGGTGAGTCTGTACAAAACTTATGCCAAACATAACTTGTTGTGAACTATTTACCGTTTGCCCAAACTTGCCGTAGTAATGTAACGTGATAATTCCCTCAGCATGTATATCTAGTACTGTAAACTTATTTGCCGCACCTACGGATTCGAAAGCGGTCGGGCCATATCAAAGTCACCCGAACCAAAAACGGCAATGCAAAGTTTGGAAATAGAATTATCCGGCGTCATAATGAAATTTACATTGCCGGTGCGCTAATCTCGCGCATCTCCGGTGCATATCAAAGCAGTGGGCAGTGTGCAACCATTTCATTGGTTGCACATTGCCCATTGCAAAACTGCCTGTAAACGGAATTTTACCATCGGACGCCAAAATAAATCAAAAGATCCGTATGGATCTTCACGCAAAACGTGGAATTCAAAGATGGAAAATACTGTGCTACAATAATATGGCAACCTATGAATACGTCTCAACAGCCCAGATCATCCAGCATAACGACGGCATAATTTGATGTACTTTATGCCAGCCAACGCCAACTAATTCCTTTACCTGAAGCGAGAAATAAAAGTGGTCTTTAATACTGTCACAAAGGTATTTTGGGCGCTTACGGCGCCAAAGTGTAAGGCGAGCGCCAACAAATGTTTCCTTTTTTATCTCATGAGCCAAATGAATGTGAACAAGAATAAGAAGTATGCGTTGAAGTGGTGCTATTGAGTCTGGCACTTAAACGATGGTTGCTATCATTCCAAGCAGTGCTTTGCTTGGACGCAACACACATTTTTACGATTCGGTCTTCGCGCGGCGCCAAAACCGGCGCCAAATCCCGCCGAGAGTGCCAAAGTCCGCTACCGGCGCCAATGCCATTCCGAGTGTTACACTGATCACAATGTAAGCTTGACATCCGTACATTCGTTGAATAATCGTTCATCGGAGGTGGATCATTTCAAGTCAGGGGTTTGGGCTTAGCCTCCGATTCATCTCCGCATTTTAATCTAGCCCATTACTGTGTCAAGCCATACAATGTTGCGGTACACCTATTTTAGCAGTCGTGCTTGCGGGATCTGCTTTCACCAAAGCATTCTCACGTCTCGCCGGGTCAGCAGCTGCGCACCAATGTACTGATGCTCAGTACGGTGAGACGCACTGAGCCGCCTCTAAATACTGATCAGGATAAATACTGTGGTGTGCAGGTTAGTTTCATCAAGTGAGTTCTGCCAGAAACTGTCATGCTGTCAGCAATAAAACACTTGAGGTAAGCACAGCACAAGCGGTGCAAGCCGTAATTGAGCCAAACATTACGACAAAAAACCGCGACGTATGAGTTTTGGAAAACATGCCGAGCCATTAACGCGATCTAAGCACGACTGAGATGAATGGTGGCAGCGTCCATTGAGGTTTGTCCATTGATGTTTGTCCATGGAGGTTTGTCACCACAAGACCCGTTACAACTCAGCGGAAGAGCAAGGAACAGCTCAACATTTACAAGAAACGTCATACTGAATGATTTAACTCGCAATGACCGCTGGATTTTTCATTGAGAGATGTCACTGACGAGGAAGAGTATCCTGCACTGACTTCCTCCACGCTCGTCGTGACATTGTGTAAGCAAATGCAGAAGGGACGTATTTGTCTGATATGAATAACACTGTTGATGGTTGTAGGCTTACTGTACATTATGCGGTGCTGTACCGTCGTCATGCAAACACAAGCTTTACTGCTGGTTTGTAAGATTTTTACCAATGCTGTCCTGAAAACCCAAAGGCCCGAAAAATTTTCGAGAACAAGTTTCAATAAAAGCCCTGAATCTGACTGTCAAGCACGCAAGGATTCATTGTCAAGGGCCAACGTGCTACTCCACGGCCTTCCCCGCTGGGGCGCTGCCAACTCCGCTGTTGGATAAAGATGACCGACAGAAGACAGGCCGAACCCTTCCCCCTCCTCCCGTCCGTTACCGCATCAAATCTGTTATTACGTCGCCCCATGAATGGACGAATTAGTTCAGAGGCAGCCCAAGGCAAAGGCCCTCAGTGATTGCGCGAATGGGCGCAAGTGTCCTATGCCTGAAACTGCCTCTGTACACTAGCGTGCAAAAGGGGCTTGGACCCCAGCCATGTACCCCTGCCTGCGGCTTCTGGGCCTTGAACAGTTCATTCCGAGCAGATGACAAAAGACCAAGCTGCCATGGAGTACGTCAATCAATGAACTGATCGATACACGTTCGAATATGCCAACCCGGTACAGACAAGCCGCCGATGCGCCTGCCACCAGCGGCGGGAGGCGTAACTCATTGATACAGGTGACGCTTGCTGCCACCAAGCAAATGGAGTTTGAATTGAACGCTTGAGTTGTTGTATGTTGCGTGACGTCATTGCCTTGTTGCGGTCTGGTCTCCCGCTCGTGTCGTCATCAGTTGGCGCTGCCTGAGTGCGGTAGCTCCTGTGGCGTTGGTCATTGACAAAGACGTTCCTAAAATAATTATTTGCGCTTTCCTGTGCATCGGCGAACGGTTTGTGTGCCTTCTGTCGCCGCTGGCACCGGGCTTCCCCGCTTTATGGGGCTTCACTCCGCTCTTGTTCCAGGTGGACTTCATGAACAACGAACGAGGATGGCGGCGGCGGCGGCGACTGCAGTGGTGCATGTTGAAGTATCGTTGCCGGGCCGCTGCAGTGGGGCAGCAAGCGGCATCGAGTGCGGCGAGCAGCCGACCAAGCCGTGACGGCGGCCCGGCTGCCCGCCGCTGTCGCCTGCCGGCCGCCGGCCTGATTCGGCTGACAACAGTGAAGCAGTCAGGTCTGGCGAGAACTCACGCGCATCAAGTGCCACTGGTGCCGGTCGGGCCAGGACAGGTTGGTTCGGAATGCGGTGTCGCTGGTGGAAGCGGCCTCGCTCTCGGCCAAGCCATGCACCTCGTGCCGTATGCTAACCGACTTTGTGCAGCTGAAGGACGGCGACGTCGTGACACGGCACGGCGCCAACAGTGAGGTGGACCAGACTCCAGCCGTGTCGAGTGTGCAGTAGCCGGTCGGTAGACGTGGTGCGGGCGCGGGATGACCTGGACGAGCTGCGCCAGTACCTGACGGGCCCGGGCGCCACCGGTTGGTCGGCATCGGCGACTGGCGCCGGGCTGTCAGCCGCATCAGACCCGGTGGCGGTCGCGTCGGCGCCGGGCGAATCCTTAGCTTCGACGGCCGGCTGGTGGGACAGTCGCCGGCTCCGCGCCGAGATGGCCGAACAGAGCAGACGAGAGCCGGCACAGACCGCGGTGCCGCCGTCAGCCGCAGGACACAGCTCGTCCGTTGGACGGCGGCCACAGCGCAGAGGCGCGCAACGCTCGGCGTGATAGACCACGATGAGGAAGAGCAGGACGCGCCCCAGGACCAGACGTGCTCCTCTGGGGAGGGGGAGAGGAGGGGCTCCTTCTCGATGATGAGCAGCCTGCGAATCTCCTGTCGTTGGCATTGGCTGGTGTTCGCTGCGAGAAGTTAGGTGCTGCGGCATCTCGGCCAGCCCCAGCTGCTGCAGCTGGGGCGTGGGCCCGTCCGGCACCGGGACCGACATGAGCGCGTCCAGCGTAGCAGGAGTGGATCGGACGAGGGCGGCGCCTGGTGCACAGCCGGCCCCCGCGCAGCCGACACCGGAGGCGCAGCAGCAGCCGCCGGCAACGGAGCCGCGCCACCACTGCCACCACAGTCAGACCTTGGAACTGGTGTGTGTCCGTGTCCCACGGCGGAAGCACGGCACGCCGCGGAACCTAGCGGACATGAGGCGCGCCTCGGACAGGGCAACTGACCCCACTTAAATAAATAGGCATTGTTTTGTACCCGCACTCCATGTTTGGCTAAGCGTGAAATCACCTACCTAAAAACCTCCAGGTAACCGGAAGACGGGACACGTGCGCCACTTCTCCAGAGTGATCTTTGAACTGTCACCGTGGAGTTGTGTGTCGCACCGGTCCGGAAACGTTAGGTCAAAGTTGTAATACCGTTGCAATACGTAATCCCCCGGGCCGGATCCGAACCTGTCGACCACTGCTTCGGACCTGCACCCTCTGCCACTTACCACTGCGTCGGGCGCCCCGCGGGAGCTGGAGTCGCTGAGAGATGGCTCCCTTCTGTCAGTGGGTTCGCCGCTAGTGAAGGTGAGACCCCGTGTGGATGGGGACGGACCGCTGTTGGCCACAACGAGGACCGACGAGCCGCCTGTAGTGGTTGTGCCCGAGTGGAGTCACATCACAGCGCTGGTGGTGGACGAGAGGCATCGTCGATGTTTCCACCAGGGCGTCCGCGTCACTCTTGCTCTTTTCTCTGCAGAGCATTTCATTCACAGGAGAACCATGGACGGGGTCGTCGGCACATGCGGTAGGTGTCGGTGCCACAACGGATTCCCCATCGGTATGCGGAGAGCCTTCTGCCACCATTCCAGGTCAGAGCCATGTCGGCCATTCTGGATGTTGGTGATCGACTATTCCGTTCCCTTGTACGCTGAAGAAGACACAAGATATAGACACTGATGATCACGTGTGTGTTACGTTTCGTGTCATTCACCTCGAGCGGGTGCGAAGCCAGAGTACTGAAATGATTCCGCCACGTTAGACAGGGCCTGCAGAAGCCGTGGACGTGTGTTGGGTTGCCTGATCCGACACTGGCTGACTGAATGCCTGCAGGTGCTGCGGTGCTGGAGCAGCCCCGGGGCCGACCCACCCGTCTGCCGGCAGTTGGCGAGGTCATCCTGGTCCACGGCGGAGGCCCTCGCGGCTGGTGACCCTCGGCCAGGGTGGCTTCGCTCATCAAAGGACCGGACGGCCGCTGCCGTGCCGCGGCAATCCTGCTCCGCGGAAATCTCACTCGCCGACCCACCGCCAAGCTGTACCGGCTGGAGGCATCGCCAGACACCACCTGTGACCGTGACGCGGACCTGAGCCGGTCGTCGTGTGGCACGCCTGCGGCGGTGTTTAGCGCGGCTCGGCACCGAACGAGCGAGGTGATGCGCGAGCAGTGGTGCCGCCCACGGGCGGGCGTGCGCGTACCGTGACGCCGTTGGACGGTCGACGCGAAATGGTGGCGTCGACCCAGCTGCTGAGTCCAGGTGTCGTGACTGTGTCTTGGGTGCAAAATAAAAGTAGCTATTGTGCTCCACTTAGAGAATACTACGTTTGCTAGTCCACGAAATATCTCATGTAAGAGGTGCCAAATAATGCAACGATGGAACATGTGCGTCACTTTTCGAGAGCTCTCCTTAACTACCGCCACGTGGGGTTGCGCCGGTCCAAAAACGCTTGAGTAAAGGTTGCATTAAGTATCCTTTCAATGCATAGTCCTCCGGGTAGGATCCAAAACTGCCTACCATTGCTTGCTTTCTGTGGTTAGCGCTTGAGCCTTCGAATTGCCTTCTGCTGTTCGTGCACGTGATGTTGCATCACCGCAAACACGAATGCTTAAGAGGACTGTTCCGTACTGCAAGATATTGAAACGAGTCTGATACACGATGAAAATGCTCGCTTAGGGCTATTGGTATGCTTTTAAGTGCAAAAGACTGTTCTAAACAACAGGATGTCATGTTTTAATAACTATGTTCCTCAATACGCAATCATTTGATTTTGTCATGAAACGTTTTCTTGACGTCAGAGTCACTGCCAGATTGGCCATGCAGAGTTGTAACTGTAGCGGACGGCGTGACTCACTTGTTGCTCCTCTGCCCGCCGCAAGGCGGTGGTTTAAGCTACGTACCTACGTCCCGCTACGTACCTTGTTCTAGCGTTATATGGGGGTGGTTTGGCCTTATCTTTAGGTGTTCTGGTGATTCTGTCCTTGGTCGCGTGTTATCTACTTGTATTTGCGTTTTGGCTACGGTGTCATTCATGATGTATTCGATTCTCAGCCCCAATGAGATTCTTCGTATCTCAGATGGTGGCTGCCACCAATACGTTGCTGTGGCACGGTCTTTGTGACCGCATTTTACACTTCAACTTCCATCCGATACACAATTTTATTGCGAACAACGAAGAACTAAGCGCAAATCAGTTGACCTGATGCTTTCCCTGCTCATGCTTGGCTGCTGACATAAACATGGCGCAGATTAAGACAAGCAAAAACCACATCGTGTATAGAAATGTTGAAAAACACTGGATATTTTCAAACCAGTGAAATCCTTGGCACAAACCAACATACAGCTCCTGGGAATTACATATAGCCAGCGGGCATTACTGCACAAGCCGTGACTGCGGCACCACGCTGTCTCCAGTGACCGACCGACCCGCGCCGGAGACGTCTGGACTGGCGCAGCAGGAGCGCATGTTAAAGGTGTTCAGTTGGGCGTCAGGTCCGGCGGCGCGCAGATGCCGCGAGACGCCCAGCGCGTGCAGGGCCGGCGCCTCGCCAGCTATCGGCAGACCGGCGCCCGGGGGCGGCCGGACGGTACACAGACACCCTCGAAAGGAGCGGCCACGCGGCTGGCTGCGACCCAGTCCAAATATGGCGCTGGGTTCCGCGTCACGTGAGGAATGGCAGAATTAGTGAAATCTTGCGCCAGGTGGCGGCCATTTTTACAATCGCACTTGCCGCCAGATCCCTCCCGGTTGCCTTTCACGACAACCGACGTGTAGACGTCACAGGTAGCACGTAGTGTAGCACATGTAGCACAGATATCCCGTTATACTTGAGATTGTGTTTATCTTATTTATAATCTTCATGCATCAAGGTCTGTTAAAGCTTTAATAGTGTTTCTTTTTTAAGATAGCAGAGTGCAAACTTGGAAGAGATGGAACAAAGATCCCACAAATTTGAGCGCCACAGGGTCAGCCGGTTGTATCTAAACCCGTTGTCTCTATCTCACGGAAGCACATCTACCGGGGCAGACACAGCATCGGCGCTACGGGTTAGCTCTGCGCAGAGCTGCTGGAATGCGTGGGCCATGTGCAGGCCACAGACGAGAAGCGTCGGCAGCAGGTGGCGCAGGCCGGCCGCCGGTCCGGAGAGCTGCGCACCAGCGCGGCGGTACGGACGCGCCCTCTGTCGGCGTCAGGCTGTAGAGCCCCGCCAGCTGCCAGCTCTGGTGTCACTGATGGATGGAAGAGGCCGCATGGAAATGATGTGTTATGAAATGTGGCCGGGAAAGATGGACAGGACGGGGGTCACAGTGGCCTTTAAAGGACTGGTTAAGTAACCGGAACAACACGTGGGCAAAAGTATGCGACTCAAACTGAGTAGCGCGAATAAAATCATGTTTTGTTTCTGGGAGACGTAATCGACGTGGCATACAAACATGTGCGTCAGGCACAAGCACACGGGCAAAATAATCCAGCCCGATTGTCGCTACTATGTTGCTGCTTTAGAAGAAGCAAGCCGTGATTGGAAGACATAAGTCATTGCGACTTTCACATCCAAATTCCTGGAGTATTTCCATGGTCAAGAATCTCCCATCGTTCATACGTCGTTGCTTTGTCATATTATTTTGCTGTTTAGGGAGAAAATCGAATGTACAAAGCGACAAGTGGCATTTGTCGCCCAAAGGTAGCATTTTACAACATGGAGCCGATGAAAAGGCGCAGCGTGGACATGCTCTCAACGTGGACTGAATCGGCATAGGAAAAGAACTTCCGGTTTTCCGTCGTTTAACGTGGAAGTTGTACTCCTTCTTTGTTTCAGATTGGATTTGTTGCGCACTAGCGCCTATTTTTGAGAAAAAAAAACATCTTAAATTTTGAGCGATTGTGATTGTATGAGATATTCCATTGCCACTTTCACATCAAAATTCCTGGAGACTTTCCACGGTTAAGAATCACCCATCCTTCATGCGTCTTTGCCTTTTCATACAATGCTGCTGCTTAGAGAAAATGGAACGAAAAACGCGACAAGCGACATTTGTCGCCCAAAAGTGACATTTTACAACCAGGAGCCAATGAAAAGGCGCGTTGCGGACATGTTCTTGACGTTGACTGAATCGGCGCAAGGAGAGAACTTCCGCTTTTTCGTTGTTTATCGCGGAAGTTACTTTCCTTCGTCGTTGCATATTGGATGTATTTCGCACTTGCGCCTGTTTTTGAAAAGAAAAAAACGTCTCGGATCGTGAGCGACTGGGACCGATTACAAAAATACAATCTGGAGGCATGACGGGATCAGTATTGCGAATTTGAAAGTGAACAACTGTAAAATGACAAACAATGCACTGGCGCTGTACATTCTTTGCATGTCATAATGGTACGTCGGCGGGGACGTGGAGCATCGCTCACGTCTGTGCAGGCGTTTACATGGCTAGACGCTGACACGGAGCACAGCTGAAGCCAGGTGCAGCGGCAGCGACGCAAAGCATGGCCCGCACCAGCGCAAAACACAGCCAGACATGGCTCACGTCCGTAGCGACACCGACATGCGGCCAGACTTTGACTGTACCGAGGCGGTAAAGGTTGCATGCCGTTCGGTCTCATAGGCTCGGAACATGGCGGTGTCTGCAGCCAATATTGGAGGTGCCGGACGTTTTTGGTGACGCTTGACCAAACCAACCGTCACCATGTTTTGAAAAGGACAGGATTCCAGCAATAGCGCATCACTAAGTGAAAGTTTTGTAGTGATCTGCTGCATCCGCTTGCAGATGGGGATATTTCCAGGCCGATTTTTCCACGTTTTGGAATTTTGGTAACCTTTGACCTATCCCAAGGTCACCATGTCCCGGGAAAAAAGCTGTCGACCAAGCGGCATGAAATGGTGATCTTTTCATATTGGTCCGTGCCATAGGCTCAGAGCATAGGATTGTCAATAGGTTTTGCGGCTGTTTAATCTCTCCCGTTCTTGGAGGCCTACGCACACAAATTGATGCACTGGCCGCAAACGAGAATGAACATTAATGATACTGAAAGAGAGAGAGAGAGAGAGAGAGAGAGAGAGAGAGAGAGAGAGAGAGAGAGAGAGAGAGAGAGAGAGAGAGAGCCTATATGCCTGCCTGAACCTGACTGCCTAACTATCTGGCGCTGACTATCTGACTACCTGACTACCTGACTGACTGCCTGCTTCTGACTGCCTGACCCTGCCTGTCTGACAGCCTAACTGGTGTGGGATGCCTTTTTCCCTGATGTCACCACCATAAACTAGCATCCATCTACTAAAATAGAGCATTTGACAGGTATATGTGTACGTTAACCAGACCTTTATACAACTCAAGCTGAACCATGAATCAACACGGGAGTCAATGATTTTAGGCTGAGTTGTGACCTGAGTCACCTCACCAGGAAAAATAATACTTTGAATCATGGGCTGATCACATTCTTCATAAATGTCATGTGATTAATCATGAGCTGGTAATTTCTACCAGTGTTATGTTAGTGTGTAAGATGGCTGAAATTGAAATGGCAATACTCGGAAATGCAGTGCGCATTTGCAAAATCTCATTAAGAAACTTGGGGATATATATATATATATATATATATATATATATATCCCCAAGTTTACATAAACATATATATATATATATATTCCTGATATTTTTGCAATATACTTCATACCACTTCTACCATTCCCCACAAAGCTATTTCGGATGTTGTCCTTTACATCCTACAGGATCGTACACCCAATGGTTTTTAACGGCGATCCTCAGCTGGGAAAACCAGGGCTGAGCCCAGCGCTCTGGTTTCCAAACCGAGGCCTGATAAATTAAGCTGAATCCTCAGTTATCTTTGTATGCAAAAAGGTCAAACATTTGATTCATGAAATACCTTATATGTTGTACATTGACCTTTGCTACACCCGATATATTCAATTTACACGCGCATTTTAAAGCTAAGCTCACATCTAGGACTCGAACTTGGGACTGAACTCAAATCAGGCTGTAACGTCAGGTGTGAGATGCCTTTTTCCCTGATGTCATTACCGTAACCTGGCATCCATCTACTAAAATGAACATTTCACAGACATGTGTGTACGCTAATCAGATTTGTGTACGATTCAAGCTGAATCATGAATCCACTCAGGAGTCGATGATTTTAGGGTGAGATGTGACCTGATTCAGCTCACTAAGAAATAAATAAACATATATCACCCAGTTTTCTTAATGACATAAGGTTTCTGTCAATATATATATATATATATATATATATATATATATATATATATATATACACATATTGCAAGATAGAAGAAATACATAACATACCAAGTCTTTTCAACAACACAATTAACATGCCAAAATGTTGCCAGTTGTGTGATGTGATCAACATAGTCAGTTAACCATCTACTAAAGTGCAGGATTTCAGACACATGTATAGACATGCTAGCCAGACCTGTGTTAAACACAAGCTGAATTGTGAATCCGCTGATGAGCCAAACATTTTGGGATGAGTTATAGGCTGCATCTGCTCACTAAGAAAATGCTGGTTTGGGTCACAGGTGCGGATCCAGAGGGGGGGGGGGGGCGACGGGGCCATGCCCCCTCCTCCGCCTTGGGCCCCGAAGGGTCCCATTGGCTCCAAGAGACCCATAGCCGGGCGAACAGGTGGAGTTACTTTAACACAAAACGCTACAAAACTGAGTATCTCTAGTCTTTCAGGCGACCAAAACAGTTGTGAGCGAAAGTGAAGGGCCTATGAGATGTTCAAAAAATCATTCAGTGATTGGAAAAGCTGTGCCCTTGAAATTTTACGCCCCATTTCACCGTCTAGGGCCCCATGCTGTTCCGGGAGACCTTTATGCCCATTTGCAGGATCATTTCGATCGTTAAAGAGCATTCCACGTTGCTCTTCACCTCTTTGCATTTGCTTGGAGGGCCCTTAGCTGTTGTTCGGGCCCTTCCTGTTAGCGTGCCAGGGTACTCTTGTCAATCACGGGCTCTTCCACGCATTCTTTCCATTCGTCAGAGAGGCTCCGTGAGCTATAGCCGGGGTATTCTCGGTTGCTCAGGGCCCTTTACGTGGGTCTCGGTTAACCTACCGACATACTTGCGATATGCTCATGGCCCCCTGCATTGATCTAGCGCGTTTCCAATTCTCTGTCACTTGCTTAGGGCCCTGCCCTCTTGTCGGGGGCCCATCTGATGGCCTGCTTGGGCACAGTCACTCGTTCGAGGAACCTCCACACTGGGTGTTGGGCACTTCTTTTCTGAATGGCGGACCCCACGCTCTTGAGGGGAGGCCTATCTGATGACCTGCTCGGGCACATTCGATCGTTCGAGGCCCCTCTACATTGGGCCATGGGCACGTGCTATTTGAACAGCGGCCCTCCGCACTTGTCGGGGGCACTCCGCACTCAGCCGGTAGATAACACCTCTTCTGTAAATTACGTCCAATATTTTGTCCAGCCACGTTTCCCAACCGCTCCCCCATGCTCCCCGCTGACCCCCAACCGACGGGCCTTGCCGCGCCCTAGGAGCAACTCGCATTCAAATGGGAATTGAGATCCAAAATGGTGAGGTTTTCTACTCCCATTGAACGAAAATAGATTCACGACGTTCGCCTCTAAATAGCCTCACTTACTCTGTTGAAGCCTGGGTTACCGGGCTGCGTTGTTTTACTACCGATGCGCACTAAATTTCGCGGTTTTAGTACGAATCGGTACTAATCACCGTTCCCTATCAGAAGGATTCGTGCTAAATGTTCTCGAGGATGTGCTAATGCAACCAAGGCGATATGTGCCAGGTGGTACCGGTCCGCCTACGCACTCGTCAGCGAAAATCCCTACGTGACGTCACTGGGGGTACATCTTAAACGCCGGAGCGGCCTGGCATGTGGTAACGGACAATAACGATCGCATGCATTGTAACACTTTTGGAGGGTGGAAAGAACCAGTACGATCAAAGTAAATGTGAATGAGCAAACACATTTTGCAGTTATGTCCAATTTGAGGGTTGGAAAGATGCCGGTAGGCCCGGGTTGCTTCTGAAGCCATATATCATTTCCTACCCCGAGTGGTTCTCTGGCGTAAAACACGACGGCTCATCATCATATAGGCTGCTTCCAGAATCCCAGGTTTACCGCCTCCGTTTTTGACCGGACAATGGCGTTAAGGTGGTCAAACGAATTAAGACATTTGTCTATGAAATCGACCAAACATCCCTGAGGGGCACTGAGTCAGCGGAAGAGAGAGACAACCGCCTGCCAGCACCTGCCGCCAACCAGCAAGGTAGCTCTCAGAGCACTTCGGATCAATGTCGTATCACTGCAGCTTTGTCAGAAGCACGCCGCGTTCGACGCTATCAAAGGTATGGCTTAGACCAATGGAAGTGAAGGCAACAATGTGCCCCAACGCCACTCCGGCATACCGCCCACACGACGGCGTCGGCCAGGGCGTCCTCTGTCGAGTGGCGAGGGCTGTAAGCATGCTGTGAAGGAGCTAAATCATTATCGTAAGGAGGTGGAACGACAGCTGCACGCACACGACTTTTCCCCATATTTTGTACACTTGAGACAAAATTGATATTCGTCTGAATTACTAGCGATGATACGGAGGCCAGATTTGTGTGCATGGATGACAAAGACAACCTTGCAGGAATCGGGAACATACAAGGGGCGACAGATGTGTTGATGAGACGAAACAAATATGGCTCAATAACGGGGGAAACATTACCATAATGCATGCAGTGGCAGTCCGTCAGATCCCACCAGCATGGATGATGACATCTCGCCCATAGCCCCCGTTAGTTGGAGCAAAGTCGTAGGACGTAGACTTTGACTGGCAGTGGTCACACACGGTTGCCTAGGTGGAGGGGAGGGATCGCCAAGACTGCCCGCTGCCAGTTTGCCAGCGATGTGCAGGCCGATTGAAGCGCAGTGCTGGTTAAAATTCTTCGGCCTTTCTTACGGGCAGGTCATCAGTGGTTCCACCACCCACCTTCGCTGCGTGGAAAGCAGAGTTTTTAAGGCCTCGGCATAACTCAGTGCGGTTGGTGAGCATGACGTCGCACAACATCGTAGGATGCTGTAGAAGAAAAGGCATCAATTCTTCACGTTACTCCTGTCTCCCTTCTCCATACGTCGTCATTGTCATTGATATCCCCCCTCCCCCCCCCGCTGGTAACGTTACGCGTTTATCGCTCTGTTCCACTGTGGGCGAGTTACAACATTGAAAACAAGCAGTCTCTGTATTCACACGTTTTAACTCGACACCCATCTGGGAACACTGCGCCTCGCTCAGCGCCATAACCTTAACAACTCAACCGCTTCCGCTCCAGCGCGAGCTCAGATCTGTTCTACCGCGCCACTGGTTGGTGCTGCCACCTGGTTGCCACGGTCACCGCAATCACTAGTTACGTCATCACCTAGCAGATGTCGCCAGATACACAAACCTAGTCAAACGTGCACGACACACCACACCTCCCTATCTCCTCCAAGCTCCTCATCTTGGCCACGTTAATTCTTTGTTTTCATTGTACTTCGTATTTCTACACTGTCCATGTTTCTGGGTTTCTACGCTGTCCACAGTGCCACGCCAGACCGAGATGCTATGTTCTCCAACGGTTGTCCTGTTCTCCATGTTCTCTTCATGGGAACAGCGGCTAGCTACTAGATCACCGAGCGTAAGTCCTCGGGTCCAATGCCTCTCAATGCTATTCAGCTAACTGCAGGGTGTACGTACTAAGGAAAAGGTGTCATTTCAAAGATCGGGGTGTAGCCATACCTTGTCGACATATTGGACATAATGCACACACACACACACACACACACACACACACACACACACACACACACACACACACACACACACATATATATATATATATATATATATATATATATATATATATATATATATATATATATATTATTGTGTACGTGATCAGTTGCCGTCTGTCCCGCCAACGTGATCATCGTCCTGGTGGCTTAGGTGGCTTAGGTGGTTCAGGTGGTTTAGGTGGTTTAGTGGTTTAGGGCGCCGGCGTTGTGAGTGCGTACGCACTTCGTGTCGGGTTCTACCTCAAGAGCGGCGGTCTTTCTTTTGTAAGGAGGCCTTTTGTTTTCGCGTCTGTTCTCGAGTCCACATGATCACGTGACCTGGCCAATCACAGGCCAGAGAGTAGGTCACGTCTGGGGTCGGGGTCGGCAGTGGGTCAGTGGTGGTCCTGGCGGCGCCGGGGAAGGTAGTCAGCTCTCGTTGATATTCACGACGAAGCTGGCTCCTCTCCCTCCGCTCCCTTTGACTCCGACTCCGGCTCTTCTACCCTCAGCTCTCGTTGATATTCACGACGTCAGCGGGTCCTTGTCAACATTGCTATTCACCATGTTGACACATCTTTAGTGGCTGTTGTTGTTACCGACGACTGCAACCTCCCCTGGGGATTATAGCCGCCGTGCACTCTTACCGAACATGGTCTAGCGATGTGGGAAATTTGGATGACTTCATGCATATATGCTCCTGTATTTAATATACCCCATTTTGGTTAAACGGCTTTGGTCTACTAGAGATTAAATCGAGCCCGCCCAACATAACAATATATACAAGACTGCCAAGACATACATACACATATATCAAATTTATGTTTACACACACATATATATATATATATATATATATATATATATATATATATATATATATATATTTGCAAGACTGCCAAGACATATATACACATATATCACATCTATGTTTACACACGCATATATATATATATATATATATATATATATATATATATATATATATATATATATATATATATATATGTATATCCAACGTGTAGCAAAGTCTTTCAACATTTGTACAGCGGGCTCGTAACATTTACGCGTACAGCGACAGGCAGATGAGCCAGGGCGGTGGAGGACGGTTTGCCGCTACCAATCGGTACGAGTGAACTGCGGTTGCCGATCGGTACGAGTGGACAACCGTGGACCGAGACGACGGCCGATTGACAATGCCCAACTGTGGGCTTACCAACTGCGGAAAAATACTGCCCCGCCCCAGTCTCTCACCTCACCGTGAGACTCAGGTCAACGCTGGCTCCACTCCGGAGTCTCTCAAAGTCAGCATGTCTCAGTCAGCATCCGCTGGTCCCCGTCCCGCACCGTCAGCAGCGGCGTTCACCTCAGCGCCCGTCAGAGGGTCCAGACCACCTCGCCGTCGGTCAGAGGGTCAGACCACCCGAGCACCGGTCAGAGGGCTAGGCCAACTCAGCGCCGGTCAGAGGGTCAGACCACCCCAGCACCGGTCAGAAGGTTAGACCACCCCAGCACCGGTCAGAAGGTTAGGCTACCTCGCCGTCGGTCACAGGGTTAGGCCACCTCGGCGCCGGTCAAATGGTTAGGCTACCTCGGCATCGATCAGAGGGTCAGACCACCTCAGCACCGGTCAAAGGGTCAGACCACCCCAGCACCGGCCAGAGGGCGGGCCGCGCCGGCGGGCCATGGTCGGGTCGACATTGCTGCGGCCCTCGGCCCCGAGGCGGGGATCTCCGCCCCTGGAGTGTTGGCAGCCCAAGCCGGCGTTATCGCGAGCCGATCACCCCCCTCCCCCTCCAACCACCTCGAGATCGTTGACGTGTTGTTCTGACCGGTGAGGGGCATCCTACCGAGCGAACTTCCCTGAGCGGACACGCCGCCCCCAGCCCATCGTGATCACAGCTTGTCCTTGCGAGTGCGCCAGCGCCTCATCGCTCCCTTCCCCTCCCTCAGTCTGGCAAGGAAACTGCATGTTCACGAGGACATCGACCGCTGTCTGTCCGGCGGAGGGCCCACTCACGACGGACCTCGGTCTGTCTGTCCGGTGGAGTGCTCACATCCAACGGACTTCGCCCCCGGCCTGCCGGCTCCGCCAGACTCTCTCCGGCAAGACTGCGGGCCGTCCATCAGACCTCGTTGCCTCTGAGAGCCAGACTGTCGGGCCCCACACTGGTGTAGGCGTCCAGCCGCAGCGCCGCGCCAATGCTCGACTTCCGCCGGCCGGGCGCGCTCTGAGAGAAGTAGCCCTCGCGCCGCGGTTTCAGATGACGGTTGTTGGCCTCCATGTGCACGATCTTCATGAACTCGATCTGCGCTGCCAGCTTCTGCACCTCCTCCTGTGGTGACGCAGGTTATAGGTCAGTCGGCTTGCAAAGGTCATGCAGGTCATGACAAAGGTCATGTGTCCGCACACGTGCGGGGGCGAGTGACAAACACCGGCGACAGAGGTCGTATAATTTGCCTAGAACGCGGACGTCCGTAGTTAAGGCAGCTCGCAGAGGAGGCATAGTTAACGCGGAACCCATGAGCTGTGCGCAGAGGTCACGTGCCTTCATAGGTCACGGAGAAGACGGGTGGACCGAGGTGCCTTCAAACATAGTTAGGCTTGTTCAAACTGTCAGCTATCCACAAACGGCGAGTTTCTGTTCTGTGTTGTTGTTCGCATGTGACAGCAGCAAGAAACCTTCCACTTTCTTTTTAATTGGTGTACCGGGAAATGCTGAAACCCAACTGACCAACATTTCACATTTCACAGTTTTCAGGCAACTCTCTAGGAGCGGGAGTATGAACCTTTAGTTCTTCATTCTCCCGATAGATGCTGATGTCCTCCTCGTCTGGCTCGATGCCGTTCAGGTAGAAGGAGGCGGCGGCGCCGCGGGCCTGAGCCCGTGCGTCATATTCGTCGCCGAGCCCGACGGCGATTCTGTAAAACTGTAGCAGACGCTCTCTTCAGGAGGGCCTCTCACCCGCGCACCACTCACGCCCCAGGCCAAAATAAGACGAGAGGTTCATGACGGAGAAGCGGAATACGGAGCCGGTGACCGGAAACCGTTTGTGGATATCATTATTTGCAAGACTGTGGCAGAGAAAAACGAATGCAGTCGTTTTCGTGCGGCGGGATATACCGATTATAAAGAGGGAAGCCCTTCCTGAACACGGTGCGCTGCCACGCACGCATAAGACTGCATAGCACGCTACTTCGCTATCATGTAAAGCATAGGTGGTACAGCTAGATAGGCGCACGCTTCAGCCTCGGCGCCAATAAGAGTGCATTGGTGATGCAGTGTACATAACATCTCCGCTGAAGCCGGGAGCTATTTTTGCCCGCGTGGCGAAAAAGAGGCTGGCATGCACCTCTCGCCATTTCGTTCAAAACTGAACAATCTCGTCGACAAAAAACGTCGGCAGCATGGTGTCTCAGAAATACCAGCCGCAGTCGGTTCGGTCTCTTGGCGTCAACCGATGAACGCCCAACTCAGGTTACACATTATGCTAAAGAATCCAAGGCTACATTTAGGCCACGACTTCCTTTACATGACACGATACCTACTTAGCCCTTTTGTCGCGAAATCACGTTCTGAATCAGATTTAGTGCGCTAAGTGGTCAAAGCATGATCTATGGTAGCAAATTGTCTTCCTAAGTCATTGCAACACATTGATTAAGGTCATGAACTGCAAAGGTGATTGATATTGTTGCAGACTGTTACACTCTGCAGATCGTGTGCCCATCGGTGACATTCATTGCCAGTGAAGAAGAAAAAAACACCAAACACTTTTGAAGCAAATACGACTTTGCGGCCCTCCAAATCTCACAGCTCAGCGAGTTCACACGGTTTGGAACCAATTGTTGTGCAACGCACGCCATGAGCGGATTCGAATATCCAAGATGTCGCGACTCTTCCTTCCATCGCTCTATGATGTTCCCAGAAATACCGCTTGGGAATACCACAGACACTCCGTTAAGGTTAGGGCCAAGTATCTTACCTTGAGGAACAGGCCAGTGTGATAACGGCACCGTGTGCACACTGTGTACACCACCTTATGCACCGAGCATCTGAACGGAATGATGGGATCATTCCAACGGGTACTGTGTGCGGCCATCAGGCCTCCTTCTTTGGGTTGTAGGGCCAGCGCAGCGGGGGCGCCGGCTGGCTCCAGAGTGCACTACTGTGGGTCACATGACACCTCGGTGGCGGTGCTGTGCGTACCCTATCTCTGGCACCAAAAACAAAGGCACAGCACCGTTGACGAGGCTGTTCAGTCTCCTGCCTTGGGCGCCAGGATCAGTGCGATGGTGTTAGTGGTGCTGAGCTAGGTCCTCACGAAGACCGTTAAGTCTCCTACCTTGGGCGTCAAGATCAGTGCGATGGTGCTAGTGGTGCTGAGCTGGGTCCTCATGAAGTCCGTTGAATCTCCTACCTTGGGCGCCAGGATGAGTGCGATGGTGGTGGTGGTGCTGAGCTGGGTTCTCACGAAGCCACACAGATACTTCACGTCCGGTCCGGACGGCACCAGCAAACTGAAACAGAGCCGCAGGCAGCATCAGCCGCAGCTCAGCCTACAGCGGCGACAGCTGTTTGGCAAACAAGTCAGCTCGTGCAGTGTCTGAGCACGCCTGGCGCGTCATGTCCATGCCATGTGGCAGTCACACAGCGTTTCAGTTTGCACGTCGCACCTTATGCCGGATACCCCCGACCTTCCAGCTCCATGTCGTGCCAGTCCCAACCGCCCGTCAGTTCCACGCCGTGCGTTAGAGCTACTCCACGCGTCAGTCGCTCCATGCATCAGTTCCATGTGATGCGTTAATGCCTCGCGAGGCTCCACGTCAGTATCCTCGCGTCCTCGCCGGGCCCTCCACTTCCTGCGTTTTCGGGTCACCGTGGCAACGCAACACAACACCGTTCCACGTCACCGGTTTAGTGGCCGGTCGCCAGCTGACCCCACCACCACGAGTCGTCACTCACTGCACCATGGCCATGGTAATGTTGACGATGGCGATGTTGTAGATGGCCCAGCTGATGTACTTGGCTTCGTCGAACAGCGTCTGCGCGTTCCGCACGTTGACGCACACCTTGATGCCCCAGAAGAGGAACAGCAGCTCCCCTGCCGCACAAATATAGTCTCCGTCATTCAAGTCTCAATTCACGGCCGCGGTATTTCATCTCGCGCTGTACTACGCGGCATGGTGTGTGCAAGAGAGAAACTTTCGGAATGACAGTCACTTTCTCGTCACATAACGACACTCTCATTACGACGACACTCACTACATCGCCGTATAACGACACTCACTTCACCGCCATATAACCACCCACCCTACATATCATCATATAACGACACTCACTACATCACCACATAACGATACTCACTACACCGCGATAAGACGACACTCACTACATCGTCATATAGCGACGCTCACTACATCGTCATATAGCGACACTCACTTTATCGTCATATAGCGACAGTCACTACATCGCCTGATAACGACTGTACCGGCGTGAAACTGCGCACTCAGGCGGCCCAGCAAATTGACCCGATCGATTGACCTGATCGAGCGGCTGCAACAGCCCGATGTTTCAGGGTATTGTTTTCAACACCCGCGCCTCTGACGTCACTTCCGCTGGGCACGTGTCCCGCGGACGACCAGAGTTTCATTAGGAACGTGCCGCATGACCAAGCGCTTGCTAACTAAGCCCGATGTGGTACAAACACCAGAAGGACAAGCAAAACAGCCAGTGTTTGGCGTTCACCGTCAGTTCATGTCATGTCAGTATCGAAAAAGGAATGAAGCTCTGCCCCTCTGTGGCAGTTTGGCACGAGTCAGAGCACAGGCGTGACCGGTGTCGTCACGCTCGTGACGACATACTGGGCTGTGGGCGGGGGTGTGGGCTGACCTGCCGCTATGGAGTGGTCCCACCAACCGAACTCGCACTGCCGGAACTGGAGGCCCTCGGCGTCCCGCACAACGACGGCCTTCGGAGGGTCACTGATGGTCCACGAGCTCAGGTAGATGATCTGCAGCGTACGGACACACGGGAGGTGGCAAGGGTTCGGTGTCATGGGAGGCGATCCTGGCGGAGGGATCCTGGGCTTTCAATTGGACCAGAAACAATTTCTCCGAATGAAGCAGGACCAACGACTGAAACAAGTCACACAACTGACACCGGTCGGCAGTCTGCGTTCGGATCATGTGCCACAGGAGGTGACACGGGTCCCGTGTCATGGGGGGTGAAACGGGTCAGGTGTCAAGAACTAGGTCAGGTGTCATGGGGAGCGACACGATTCAGGTGTCGCGAGAGGTGACACGGGTCCGACAGCTGATACAGGCCTCACTACAACTACAACACTACACTACAACAGACACGTCTGCGAACTAACGCAGGGCTGCGAAGTGAAAGTGGCAAGATCTGCCAAAAGGAGACTAGTCTGCCGACGAACACAAGGCAGCCCACTTTTAACGGTCTCCAACTGGATCCAGGGCTTTCAACTGGACAAGAAACAATTTCGCCGAATGAAGCAGAACCACCGACTGGAACAGGTCACACAGCTGACACCGGTCGGCAGTCTGCGTTCTGCATTTGAAAACGTTCACCCAGCACGTGAATTGAGTCACGTCGTCGAGCAGTTGCACCCAATGTCTAGTCGCCGACTCTTTACCATAATGAGCAGAATCGGGAACAGCCACTGCAGCAGCTGCTTGTCCGTGAGCTTCAGCTTGTGCGCCGACTTCACCCGATACGTCAGGGACACCCTGGAACGTGACACCTGGCTGGTGACAGGGCGGAGCGCGGCGCAGGACACAGGGCACAGCTCTGACGACACACAGCAGCACACACAGCGGTACAGCACAGCACAGCAGCACAGCACAGCACAGACGAGACGGGTGTGTCGTGACACGGATGTCGGCGTTCTCTGGGGAAACGCCTGGAACTGTGACCGGATATGGTGGTTGTCGGATATCTTAAGAGATCGAGCATCGTACGTATCGCCTTCTTGTGATGATTCTCATTGTGTGTGATGTGATTTGCGAGTGATAAAACCTAGACAATGAAGTTTTTGGCAATTCAGGCTCATATGTACGAATGTATGCGTACAATATATATATATATATATATATATATATATATATATATATATATATATATATGTGTGTGTGTGTGTGTGTGTGTGTGGTGTGTGTGTGTGTGTGTGTGTGTGTGTGTGTGTGTGTGTGTGTGTGTGTGTGTGTGTGTGTGTGTGTGTGTGTGTGTGTGTGTGTGTGTGTGTGTGTGTGTGTGTGTGTGTGTGTGTGTGTGTGTGTGTGTGTGTGTGTGTGTGTGTGTGTGTGTGTGTGTGTGTGTGTGTGTGTGTGTGTGTGTGTGTGTGTGTGTGTGTGTGTGTGTGTGTGTGTGTGTGTGTGTGTGTGTGTGTGTGTGTGTGTGTGTGTGTGTGTGTGTGTGTGTGTGTGTGTGTGTGTGTGTGTATGTGTCCTTGTTACTTGATTGCTATGTAAGTCAACGAAATACCAATAGAAAATTGCTGGGAGACACGTATGATATGATTCAGAACCAGTCATGTTTCAGGCCAAAAACGCGCTTGCGATGCGCTAAATTCAGATTCCAATTAAATATTTCAGCTGTGGTCATCTGTCCTTTTGGCATCCTGCATGCTCCCCACCCTTGATCTGCGTCCTGCCAACAGTGTACGGAATCATGTGCTGTATCATGAATAATGCAAATAGATCACAATACATGCATGACCAAAGTCACTTTCGGCTCAAGGCGGTCGCGTACCCGGGGTCTTTCACCCAGGTGGGGCAATTGGGTCGCAGGGGGCCTGTGCAGCCACGGGAACCATCATCACAGCTACAGCGGTCCTGCTTTGTTCCTTCAGGGACCTTCCCTGTTTTGGATGCTCTTTTGATGTCTCGGAAGCCTCTGAGCCTTTGCGTCTGCGCAAAAACCGACATCCGTTAGCCGGCCTGCCGCCACATGGCCTGCAACGTCACATGTTTCTGCCGTGAATGTCCTCCGCACGGAGGATATTCACGGCAGGAGTTGACCGTGTGACGGCTCATTGGACAGCCGTAGGTCGCGGTTTCTCGGAACTGAAACCATTCACAGGAGACTGGAGCAAAGACGTGGGAACGTTTCAAGAAATGGGGGGAGGGCAGGTTCGGGGTATACTGAAGAGACTTTTACTGGGAGGCAAGCCCCGATGACCAGTGGGGGGAGGGGGACAGAGCGTGAGAACCTTATATGCTGTTGATTCATATAACACTGTCGTGGTTGCTATGCTAGATTTGCACCCATATCTCGTTCCGACTGGTGCACTATTATAACTTTTCCGACTCTCATTTACACCATTCAGTAAAGCGTAATCAACTTCCCAAAATTTATTCGTCCATTTCGACAGTCCCCTGGGGAGGTGAAATTCTACAAGCAGCCAGGCCTTTTGGGTCACTGGGGAGGCATTTACCTCCACAGTTCAGATACCAAAGTACGCTCTGTGCCCGGCTACTCACAATTTGCAGTATCCATAGTGCGCAAAAGTTTTTATGTGTCAGGATTTCACCGACTTCTTTTCAAGCTTCACTTGAAGGGAAGGTTTCACTTTCGAGGATATTAAAGCGAGTATCAGATATGATGAAATAGGCTCACTTGTAGCTATTCGTGTAATTTTAAGTGGAAGAGACTGCTCTAAAGAACAAAAAAGCTACTTGATGTGCTCGCAATTACGTCAGTGGTTGATTGCTTCTTCGTACCCTGCGCAACATTGATTGAGCGCCAACTGACGGCCTTTGCATTTAGAAATTGTGCCCACGAACACCAAAAATGAACGACTTGACAACTAAATGTTTCTTTTTTCTAATCTTGGTTGTCGCATGGTCGATGGAATGAGAGGATTTCAATGAAGTTGTTATAGCGTCATGGATGACTGCGTGACCTTAAAACAGTCTATACGAAAAAATCTGCACAACTTCGCTGGCGCGTAGCTCAGAAACTGGAGAGGTTCATGTCTTAAGAAGGACAAGACTGTGAACTGCACCGAATGATCTTCAAGATGGCTATTTCAATTCAAAGCCCCCAACAGATATGGAACATCCCCGTTAAGCTGGATAAGTTTTTGTTGCAGCGTTATAGGCACGGCAAATTTGTAGGTGTGGTGAAGGCAGACTATCCACATGTCGTCATCAAGTTGTAGGTGTCTTTCGTTGTCTGATTTCGTTGTCAATTCAAATTCAGCTGCGCACAGTTAAGCCACCCTTTATTCTTATGTATTCATAGTGCACACTGTCTGTGGCTGTTGGTCTTTACTAATAATATACCGTACACTTCTGATTGCAGCTTCGAATTTCAGGCAATACGATAAATAGGCCACAAAGTTCACCATATTTCGGCAGACACGCTGATATAAGGTGAGTTTTGAAATTTTCCTTTTAACCACCATGTGTTTCTCAGTCACTGAAAATGGTCTTCATAGTTGTAATTACGTCAGGCCTCGATTTAGGGCGCTTCATAGATGCAAAGGTATTAATTATATATATATATATATATATATATATATATATATATATACATATATAAGAATAAGCATGCAACGTTGTAACAACTGTAGTCAGTTGCTGTATTTGTGGGAATTTTATAGAAATATATATGTACATATATAAATATAATTAGTACCTTTGCATCTATGAAGCACCCTAAATCGAGGCCTGACGGAATTACAACTATGAAGACCATATACAGCGACTGAGAACCACGTGGTGATTGAAAGCAAAATTTCAAAACTCAGCTTATATCAGCGTGTCTGCCGAAATATAGCGAGCTTTGTGACCTATTTATTGTATTGCCTGAAGTTCGAGACTGCAATCAGTACTGTACGATATATTATTAGTAAAGACCAACAGCCACAGACAGTGTGCACTATGAATACATAAGAATAAAGGGTGACTTAAATGTGCGCAGCTGAATCTGAATTGCCATCTCATTTTTGAATTATATTTAATGATCAACACTCACTGATAATGATACTCACCACTATCAGTGATATTTCACCACATAGGATAGAACGAAATGCACTCTCTCATCAGGCTTCGACCAGTAGTCGCTCATTGAGCTATATGTTATCAACATATTCATATTCATACTGGTTCCCCCAGTCGTGTCCGAGAGGTTCAGACTCCCCACTCAAACATGTGGTAGGCACCTGTGGTTGGGTTTCTGAAGCACCTGTCTGACCTGACAGATGCCAGTGAACGGGAGACAAAATAGTCTCCACGATTACACGGTATGGCTGTGCCAATGCATTTCGTAACACATAAAATGTTCCCCTTGACGGGCGAGGCAGCCTTTTCAGACGAAATGCGCGAAGTGGTAGTCAGACGCAGTTGTCTCTCGAAACCGTTCTGGCTTAACTAAGAAAGGATAACGTATTTTTGAATAACGTTGTCATGTATTGCGCGGCTCAACACAAGCCGCATTCAGTTATGGAAAGCGACAGCTTTCTGCTTTAAAACCTTGCTAGTGTGGCGCCGATAAATTTCACCGTTTGTCACAATCTCCTTGCTGACAAAAAGCGCCGAATCTCGACATTTAGACAACCGCATTGCACGAGCTTTGTGGCATTCATGGTGCATGATGCTGCACTGTTTTGCCCCTGTCCGGCGAACGCACCTGGTGAACTCCTGTCCCTGGAACCAGTACCGCCCAGAAATGTCTCCCACAAACTTGTGGCTTTCTGAGTGTTGACGTTAGCACCAGCGGGCACCGGCACATATTCGAACGTGAAGATCCCCTACTGAAGACTTACTATAAACACGCTGTGCATTTGAAGCGGTTCACTACCACATGGCTGATGGATAAGAAGTTGTGTAGTTCATATGTCCTATTAGGCGAAAGCACAAGCAACGATACCGACTCGGAGACCAACTGTCAATACTGAATCTGCACTCAGTTTAGTGACACCTGTCTTAAAACGCCCTATGTTCTTGTAACGTTTTATGAAATGCCTCAAAATATTGCATCGGTCAGGCAAATAGCGTAAGTTCCGCCCTCGGAAAACGCTCACGAACTTCTGGAATTCCAACAGAGGTGAGAAATTTTCAACCAGACAACGCAACAGAAGTAATTTCTGCGAAAATTTATGAAACACCGGCATTGTAAAAAAACATTGCTTTGGCCTCGCGTGCTGGATTACACCAACCGTCAATGACATGTTCATTTTGCTCCATGAACCTATACTGAGGGGCCTGTAAACAGGATGCACTAAAGAACTAAGGATATATAAAAGACGGGATGGAGCATTTCCCAGCCAAAAGAGCCAAAAGAGAGATGGAGCAGTAGCCTACGTTTTGGACCGCAGAATATTTCCATTCGCCGGACATGATAGGATGAAGTTGTTGCGTCCAATCCGACTTGAGCAAGATTGTAAAGTGAGTCCGCTAATTGTGCCTGAGAAGCCGGGGATCGGTTTACATTGCCGGCCCCACCTTAATAAGTGAGAGGCCTCGGCCCCCGTTGCCCTCCGTCGCTCTTCAAACCTCCATGAACTTAAGAATGCGATTGCACCCGCACGCATGTGCATACCTATGTGCATATAGCCAGGTATCACGTGTGCAGATGTGTTACGCGCTATCGAGCATAATACATGGATTGGTCAATCATCTCGCATGCCATGTGATGTCAATAACAGTTTAGGACCGAATTATCAGAACACTTAAGAATGTCAGGCTTGGTAAACGATAGGATGTAATATATGATTGCGGTAGTTACCAAAGCTAATCCGTCAATATCGTCATGACAAATGTTCCATTCACCAAGCGCAAATACATGTTTGAATTAGAACCTGTATCCCATCATTTCCAACAACGTAACATCATGAACCTAGCAGAGCCCAATGTCAACCTGGGGCATTTCCCTAGCCGTGCCGCCTTTAGGCTCAAAAAAGGTCCTTGAAGATTCTTGGGCGCCGTTGATAGCCGAAGTCAGTGATGCAAGAAAGTTGTTCAGTTCAAATCATCACTCGCTGTCACTGAAGCAGAGTGCGATGGTACATTAATACTAGCACATACGAAAGACCTAATTCACGTTGACCAATATCCAACCAAGCCATTGGCGTGTTTCACCGTACTTAGTCTCAATAGCTCGAAACGTGAACCGCAGTAAAGTGGCGTAATACTTCGTAAAAAACCACGCGCGTGCTTTGGCTTGCCGCCGGCTATGAACTACTTGTACAAACGCGTGCTTCTGCGAAGGTCCTCCGCGCGGCGGATAGGCAGGCGTGTGAATGAGCATTCGGCACCCTGGGACCGAAGACTCACGGGACAAAAGCAATTCGAGTGAGACTGGAGGAAAGCCTTGGACTGGAGCATGTAGCCGTACTGATAAACTGCCTTCCTGTGTACAGGTGACGCACAATTCGAGCACAATTTACCAACCATCTCGTGCGTCGTGTGGTGCCAGTAGCACTTCGAGCCGGAAAAGGCAGTTTTGCTACACGGGAATGGAAGTCTACGGAGAGGCATTAGTAAACGAGGTGACGACAAATTCGCGACGCAAAAGCCACTTAACGTTTGAATATGGCACTGAGTGTTACGTGCGCAACGTCATTAACCCAGAAGCACATAAAGTATTTCTTAGTCACGACGCCTAAAGGTTCAAAGGTGTTTCTCCCTTTGAAAAATCATAACGTAGTGGATAGTCGTGTTCATTATCATAAATGAAACGTGAAGTGCAAATCGAACTCAAAACCAAGATAGAATCGTAATCGAAAGCTTGGGGTGAAATTCTGAGATGCTTAGAGGGTTTTCTAGAACACTGATGTTACTCATCAAATGTTACGCGTTTGATCTAACAATAAGTGCAAGCACGAAAAGGTGGGGCACTCCTGTCAAGCTCGGGCGATGTCTGAGAGCAGGATAGGCCTGCCGAGTATTGCGTTGCCCTGCATCCGTTGTGGTACCAGATGCCGTGCAGACTCTCCTCTCCCGGTCCGTGAGTGACGACTCAGACCGCCTCATGCGCCTCTTGGAGACAGAGCCAAGAGAGCCGTGCATCATAAACATATGCTCCAAACACATGTCAAATGTTATATATATATATATATATATATATATATATATATATATATATATGATCGTGTAAAGAGCACGTAAGGCACGCGTTTTTGAAAGCTGCACGCTGTTAATTTGCATTATTACGTACATAAATAACATGCCAATTTGGAAAAGATCGGTTGTCAGCCGAAATTTACATTTAGCCTGACCTAATGGGGTGACATATTAGCCTTAGAGACATGAAACTTGCTAAGACTCGCGAGACCTCGTTTAGACCAATCCGTCTGATTTCCCGCAGGATTTCATGCTTTTTTGTAGTGACGACTGCGGTTCACATCTACTGCACCCCCATCATCAAGAAAGCCGGCGAAGCAGGGCAAAGGTTCACCGTCGCTCTACGAAGGGCATCCTGATGTTCTCTTTTGCTTCCAAATATCAAAGCACGCAAATGCGTCAGTTATCCCGTAACAACTGATTGCACGG